ATTTTCACATGCAGCTATCCCTTTGTAATCTTTAGAGTCTGATTTAGTTCATTTAGTTCATTATTTAGCTTCTCTATTCAATGCAGCAATCTGCTGCACTGCTACTCCCAGCCTCGCTTCCATCGTGAATCAGTTTGATTCCTGTTCGATTTTTTCACTGCATCTTTTTAATTACAGCTTCCAAGCTGGAATTTCCAGTCCTGGGTTTAATTGCAGGAGAGCTGAGAGAAAAAAAGAGTCAACAAACTCTAATCCTTCTTTTAAAAAGACCTGTGATTATAATGATTATGGTTTGAAAGCACGACTCTCTCAAATATGATTTCCTTTCTCACATATTTAGGTATTTGTGTTAAAGTATTTGCTGCTACATTAAGCAACCACCATCTTCTCTTGTGAACCTTTGCCCTTAGTGCTGAAGTGTGAATACTGCAAAAACTTTGCACCTGCCAGCCAGTTCAGAGGCACCAAAAGGTTCTGCTCCATGTCTTGCGCCAAGAGGTACTATGCATGCATGAAACATGTGACACTATATGAACATCTAATCAAGCCCCTTCATGTTGCTCTGCTGCAGCCACTGCATACTTCACAGACCTCTGGATGCTAATTGCTACTTTTATTGTCTAAATCAAACATTAATGTCTTTGGGATTTAGGCACCAATCATTGGAACCAGAGTAAAAACATATAGAAGCAGTTTGAAAAGTGTTTATACCCTTTAATTTATTCCGTTTTATTACAAAAAAAAACCCTAAGCATCAAAACTACTATTCAGATTTTAAGCTTCAGATTTTTTTTCGACTTTTTCGGCAAGTAACGCATTAATGTAAACTGGAAGGAAAACTATTATTTTCAAAAAATGTTATGAAAGACAATAGCTACAATAGAATAGTCTGGATCAAAGCGCATCTATGTTAGTTCTTCCCAGTCACAGTGATTCATCCTCCAATTATTCATCCCACAGAAGACTAGTGCTACGTTCACACTGGATGTCCTTTGGGGAGTAAAAAAAGCGCCTGCTACTTCATTTTTGATGCTTGTATATTAAGTTTAGACGCAACTTAAGAGCTCCTGAAGCTCGTCCAGTAAAATGTGCCCAGATGCGTCTGATGCTTCTGCTGCTTCTGTGTTCAGTGCAGAGAGTGGCTTTGCTATATTTGATGTTATAAGTGGGTAAAAATTACTTTTAATATATTTTTAGGCCAGAAAGTCCACCTCAAAACTTCATCCGTTCCTTTCTGTTCATCATGATTACGATCTTGCCTTCAAATATTATTTCGCTGTCGGAACCGCTCTGACCCCCACATACCAGCGGAGAGCTGTCACTGGGAACCCCCAGCAGTTGCTGGTTTTTCTCTACTCCTCATGGTGGCTGGAAGTTGATGTCGGCGTTTTTCATATACGTATCCAAACTGCAGGCACCAGGATAATAAAAGCAAACATATTTTTTGGGTTTCGACATTTTAAGTTAATTAAGGCATTAATAAACTGTTTCAGGGGAGTGATCACAGCGATCTGCATCAGCAGTGCTGTGTCTGTCTCCCTGCCAGCTCTCAGATCGACTTCCCTGATTGGTTGATGCAGCCAGCGAGCAGCATAAGTTAATTTTTGAAACTCCAGCAGCTGGTGCTTGTGAAGCTTTTCCAGCGCCTTAGATGCTCAGAAGCTCATGAGGCGCTGCTCTGCTGTTGGATCTTGATGTACCTTGACACACGCAACCATTGACTTTGCATGTAAACCAGCTGCTTCAATCGCATGCGGTCTGAACGTAGCATTAGTTATTAGAGACTAAAACTATATAAGTATTAAAAATGTATTTATTAAAGGCAAACTGAAGTCAGTTTTTTTTTTTTGTTTGGATGCAAAAACGTGACTTATTAAGGTTCTAAAACATGCGGTACACCTTTAGTCTTTGGTTTACTTTATATAGACGCACTGCTTTGTGTGGTCTACCACAGGCGTCTGCAACCTGCAGGTCTGGAGCTGCAAGTGGCTCTTTGGGCCCCCTACAGGGCCTCTTAATAGTGGCCTAAAATGATGTAAAGAAGCAACTAATGTGGTATAATAATAAATACCAGCCTTAGAAGCTTATGAGTTTTTTTTTTATTTTTATTTTTTTATATTTGACGGAATTTTAAAAAAAGAATGACTTTAAAAGAAAAGTATTTTTTCAGTTCTACATTGCTTTAACTTTGATTTTTACATCAAATAACTTATGGAAGAAAATCCATGGTTCATCATTATGCAACAATTTATGCTTTTATTTTGAAAGCTAACGGCAAAAGACGTGTCATATAAGATATTTAAGAAAGAAATAATGTGTTTTATTAAGGGGTTATAGCATATTTGCAGCTCTAAATGACTTTTACTCAGCCAGATATGGGCCGAAATGTCTCCTTGGATTTTAAGTTTGAAGATGCATGTCTCTCACATAAAGTCCTTTTAAAAATGCGTTTTTAAAACTTGGCAGCGTGTAAAACTTTAAGTGAAGGAAATTAATCTTCTTCAGTAGAAATTTGGCTGTGAATTATCAGTTGGCTTCAGCCCCACATTCACTGCATGTCTGTTTTCTGTGCTTTTTATTTTTTTATGTTTTTAATGTGACACAACTTTATCCGCCTTGATGTTCAACAATGGCCTGGAAATGTTTGTCTTATGAGAATTTGGAAATGTTTTATTTGAACTGACATGCTCTTGTGATTTTTTTCTATTGTATTTATTACATCATGTGTTTTATATGATAAACAATGCATATCCTGCATTGTTTGGAACAGCATTTTGTCAGCATATGAGTTTGAAATTATTTTTGCTTTGCTTTGCCTTTGTCTCTTTGGCAGCTTTGTGCGTATGACTTCTATACCATAGCTGGTCCAAAGAGACAGAACTTTGTGTTGCTCGTCCCGGCTTCAGTACCGTATATGTCACTCTTTGTCTACGATACAGTATGTATTGGTTCCCCAGGTACAACGTCAGCTTCAGGCAGAACTTCACCGTGCGAAACAGTCACAGCCAGCTTCAAGATCAGGATCGAGCTATGGATCAGGACCAGGATCAAGACCAGGGCCAAGGTCACTTATCTAACTCCGATGAGGAAGGAGGGATTGCAAGGAGGAGGGTTCCTCGTAGGACTAGCTCAGAAATAGCCAGCGCAAAGATAGCAGGAAGGCCCGTCCCAGCAAAGGTGAGAAAATAGTCCTCTCCAAGATCAAAAAAGACAATTAAGAGACATTAATAAGCTTCTGTTTATACAGCTATTATCATTTTTTCTTATAATTAACTCAAATGAGAAAATCTTTTTTTTTCTCGTTTTATTTTATTTATTTATTTTTATCGTTGATATGTGGCTTTAATGAAACGAGGAAACATGAAGCATATGAGGGAATCACCTGTGATTTTTTTAGCTCTATTTCCCAGAGTGTTGTGAGGTTTGGTGCCATCTAGTGGCTGGAACCATGCAACTACATAACAGCTGCTCTGTTTCTGTAAAACTTCTATTTTTTAAGACATTCAACCTTCTTTATGTTTTACAGATTTAATTCATGCATGCAGGATTATTTTGCAGATGGGATTCAGTGGTTAGACTGGTGGTTCTTTGACGGGTCTTACTGGTTTTGTAGCACTACCACCATTGTTTGGGGTGCTTACTGGACTGGCTGCCAGGGGATCTGATTTTTTTTCAGTTATTTTCAAAGTGTCTCCCCTCAGGAATCAATGCTCTCCCTCTGTCCTGCCTACAGAGTCGTTCAGAGTCCAGCCATTCAGAGGAGGAGTCCAGTGGACAGGAGGATGAAGAAGACGCCATGTCTCTGTCACCTGCTTCCTCAGCTTCCTGTCACCAGCCGCCTCCACCGCCTGCAGCTGAGAGCGCAGCACCACCCTGCCTGCCTGCTAGCCCCGCCCACTGGACAGTGGAGGAAGTGTCACAGTTTATTTCCTCCCTACAAGGTCTGTCATTTTTTTTTTAACCTCAATGAATTTATGGAGAGAATTTTGCTCTATTATTGTCGCAAGCAAAGAACATGTTTCAAAAATTGATATTTGTTATTTATTTGTTTCTATTTTTTTTTTTTGTTAATGTATTTTAAAATTTCTTTCCAGGTCTATGTTTTATTTATTTTTATTTCTTGCATTCTTCTGAAATTGCATTTAACAGATCACATGACTTAAAAAAACAAAAAAATGACTGTTGATGCTCGCATTGAGAAATAAATATATAGTTGGTAACATCCATGAAGACCATGCACAACAAACCTTTGTCCCTAACTCAAGAGGAAGGGAAGAGAATGTGATCTGGAAAACGGCTTTTACAATGAATGCAATACATGACACTATATCAGAAAAAAGCAATTTGTAATTTTTGTAAATTTTTAAAATGTAATTTGAAATATTTAAAATCTTAAGAAATTGATGATAATAAATACATATATTTGAAAAAGTATAATATAATATAATAGAAAATTAAATATAAAAGTAAAAAAAAAGAAATAACAGCAGTTAAAAATATATTTTTTTATTAAAACATTTTTTAAAGGTTAATACCTAAAATGCATGTAATTTATTTCAATTTTAAGTATTTTTTTTATTTTTTATTTCCATTTATAAAAAGTGTTTTTTGTCTGGAACAAAATTCACTCCGTACAAATTCAGTTAAATCAAAGGAGCTTCAGTCATTGACCTAATGGTTAAATAGTTATAGATCAGTTGCTGCAAATTTGTCTGTGGGTTTACTGGCGGACATTAGGGCTGGGTAAAAAAAATCTATTTAATCGATTTTGAATCGATTCCTTTACATTTTTGCAAAATCGATGTCTAGGGAATGAGATTGATTCATTTTATAGTGACCTGTGTGACGTTCACATTCAAGTCACTCAAGATGACTTCAAGCCAGATAGCTGCAAATATAGCCAAGAGGTTAACTGAAGACATTAACAAATGGGGGCTGACCAACAAACACCCTCTAGCTGTTACAGACAACGCTGCAAATATAGGTTGGCAGGGAAGATAATGCAGCTCATGAATATGTGCTGTGTCACATCTGCTTGCTCGAGTGAGGCTTCACTTTTCACAAGCAAGTTTGCACTTATGAGACAGTTTTGTTCACATCTCATGTTTAAACTGTCTGATTTACAAGTTTGCACTTTGTGTTTAATGTCACAGGAAAAAACAAAATACATGAGTATTTTGAAACACAGTTGAGCCACTTTCATTATTGTAAAAACAGATTAAATCAAAATTTATCGATTTTGAACTGTATTAATCAATATCAAATCGATTCAGGACTTTGGCAACAACAGTAAAAGCAGACTGTACTTATTTTTTGTTTTTTTTATATAAAGCTAAAACTTGACCTTCCTGCTATAGGAACACATTTCAACATAATAAGACTTTTTCATTCTATCTAGTGATTTCTTCATTTAAGGTTTAAACTGGAAGTTTTGATCTTGACAAAACAATAACATGGATGAAACCTGAAAATTTGGAAATTGAAAACTTTACTATTTATTATTTTAAAATGCGAGTATTTTATTACTTAGAAGCTATTATTCTCTTTTTTTTCTGTCAATTTTAAACAAATAAAAAACATCAAGTTGTACATCAAACTGGATAAACTCTTTTCTTAATCTGCTCGTGTTCCTGTCGCTCCCAGGCTGCGAGGAAATCGCCTCCCAGTTTCTATCGCAGGAAATCGACGGACAGGCTTTGCTGCTGCTGAAGGAGGAGCATCTGATGTCCACCATGAACATTAAGCTGGGACCAGCCCTGAAGATCTGCGCTCACATCAACACCCTGAGGGACTGATGGTCCGCTGGTTTCCGGCCCCCGCTGTGGGCTGGGATCAGACGGTGGGATTTTAAAGCTCTCCAGCTGAACCGAGCGCTGCAGAGTTTACGCCTGCCGTCGGCGGAGGGGGGGACACTCCTGATTTCTCTCTGAAAGTAATATTTGCAGAGTTTGGCTCCGCGCTTGAACCTAAAACTGTGATGGATGAAGGTTTTCTCATGAAGGCACCAACTGCTGCTCCATCAACACATTCATGAAGACTTCATTTTCTTATTATTTTGCACTTCTAAAGATAATTTGTTTTTTTTCTGACATTTAGGAAGATGACTCCTTTTATTATTATTTCAAATATCTTTGGTTTTCTTGTTCATCGTGATTTATGTGTCAAATCAAGAAGAAAAAATTTAAATGGGAACAGAAACAGCTGAGGTATAAAATTTGGAAAAAAAAAATTTTTAGAGGAGAAAAGTGTTTATTAGCTTACTGTTACTACAAATTAGGAAACCCTCACCTTCTATAGGTGTGTTACCGATAGCTAACAGGGTACAGTGAGAGAACAGGGTATCTGAAAGGCCAGAGTGGAGTCCAAATTAAACCAGAACCACGGCAGGTTCTGAGAGCCATGTTGATTTTACAGGATGTAAAGTAGAAAAACTCAAAAAGTTTCTTTACAGCCTGAAACAGGCTGGATTCTGCTTCGTCTTTAGGGTCTGGATAAGTTTAAAGAAAAAAAAAAAGTTAAAAGGGAATCAGGTTTCCTTCCCTTAACGATATAATAGACTGAAGTAAGAAAAATGAGGTGATTACCGCCTTTTATTTAGCTTTAATTCACACCTTTTGAATCTTCAATCATATTTTAGGACAAACTTTTGTTTGGGTTTTTAAAAATGGCCGCTGCTTCCATTGCAGCCAGAGCCAGTGGATCTGTGGCGTCCGAACATCCGGGCTCATAAAAGGCCTTGAACTTTGATCATAATATAATTTAACAATGTAACAAACAAGAAGAAAAAACACTACTTTATTCACTGTTGGAGAATTCATTCCAGATTTAGAAAAGATAAAAATGTGAAATAAGAGTGGTGGAGATTCCTAACATAAGGCTGGATCAGAAGCCAGCTTCTTAGCTACAGATGATTAAAAACCCAACCTGTTTTAATTTTTTTTTTTTTTTTATGCACGTCCGGGAAAGTTTCTCAAAACAAATTTTGAAAAAGCGACGAGTTCTGTAATGAAAGGTTTGCAGGAACCTTCTGCTGAATGATTCCCACGTCGTCTCTAAGCTTTATGGAAGATACCGACTGCTCTTTAAACGGAAACTAAAGAGCAGCGACCAACACCAGAAGGTGAAGCATCTTTGGGCTGAACTGTTGAAGCTGTGGACCTACATCCGTTACAGACTGAAGTGCTTCGTCGGCCAGAATGACTGAAGCTATACTGTAGTAAATGTAAAAATTTGCCTTTCTATTTAATTGCACATTTGTTTGCTGGACTGCCTTGTCTTTTCATGTTCCCTGGTGGCCTTTTTTCACTAGTCTCTAGATTTAAATGACTGTCTGTCATTTTTTAACGTTTTTTCGTATCATTCCATCTTTTCTAGAAATGCCTTCATTTTTAAAGTCACATCCGTTGCTCTTCCCAAAGCGTGACTTAAGTAGTAGCAACCTTGATGAAGGAAACTCCCCCGTCTTCCTTATAGCTTTCTCATTTATTGTGTACTCGCCAACAATATTTACCTTTGTAGCTAGCTAGCTATCCTTGGCTTTGTTGTGACTGACTGTGTCTGTTTTCTTCTAAGAAGGGATAATCCTTGATTGCTGTGCGTTTTTGTTTCAGTCTGCCCACGATTCTGGAGTATTTCAATTTGCTGGTCCCTCCACATGTGAGGTTGGATTGAAAGATCTCATGCACGCTGTAGTGAGCCTTTTAATTCAGCTCTAATGATTTCATCTGATCGTTGTTCGTTTCAACATCAATCCAAACAAGCAGCACCTTTCTCTCCAAAATTACCGAAGGTTCTGTAAATCTTTTATTTGCAATAATCAGAGAAAACGGCTGAATCTTGAAGGAGTGTGTTTGACGATGAGCGGTTAATGCTGTAATGAAAATAAATCCTCCAGGAACTGTTGTAGGAATCTGTCTCCTGTTTTTTTTTTGGGTTTTTTTTTAACCTGTGCACCAGTTTATCAGAGCCAAACAGGAACAGTAACGATGCAAACTCCCCCCTAAGGGCCCTGAGGGGGAATTTGCACGACACCTTTATAAAAAGTGATTTAGTTCTGTAACAGACAGCAATTCACTGCAAAAAAAAAATTGAAATCTAAATAAGTCATTTTTTCTTGCAATAAGTGCATTTTTTTTTTTTTTATTGAGGAGGAAATTGAGACACTTTGCCAATGGAACAAGACAATTTACATTTAAAATAAGAAAACACAATTGCATTGTCTCAATTGTTTCAAGTGAATATTATCTAATTATCTTATTTTAAGACTAAAAATACTCACTCCATTGGCAAATTATCTTATTTACCTACTGAAATTAATGGTAAATACACTTAATTTAAGAATTTTTTTCTCATTTTTAAATGGTTTTTGCAGTGTTCTATTTAATGTTTTTAGGATATTTTTCTGCTCATGTGACACTGATTTCTAAACTTTTGAAGTTTCAACAAAAAGTATCAAACATGTAGATAATGTTTTTATTTGGTTATTTTTACTTCCATAAGCAGCCTTGTTTTTAATTTTTTTTTATTTTCCAGCGTTTTATGTCGCTACACTGTCAAGAACAGAGCAATGAAATTAACTCTGTGCATAACTCTGGCATTGTTGGCTGCCATTGTGCGGTACCCGGGGAGCGGTGTGGGGTTGCTCAGGAACCCAGGGTGCAGTCTGTGGGAGTGGGGCTTGAACCTCAGGATTCCAAGCGCAATGCCATTCCCCAAAGCAGGCGTGAAGGGTACACTGGCAGCTTTTTTTCCCCCAGCTGGGATACGAATCCAGGCTTCCTTTTTGCAGGACAGGTGACTTGCCACTTGAGCTAGCTACCAAATGATCTTTGTAGACAAAGTTAATTTTCCAGCAGTTGAAAACTAGTGACATAGCTAAGAATGCTGATTTCTGTTAAGACTCCACTGCTCTGGATCATCCAGCCCACCAGTCTGATCTAATCCCCAAACCTCTCTGTTAAAATCATTAAATGCATTTTTTTGTGTGTGATATTCTAATGATGGCTGCACAGTGCTACAGCACTGCTGCCTTGCAGCAAGCAGGTTCTGGGTTCGATTCCCTGCCAGGGTCTCTCTGCATGGAGTTTGCATGATCTCCCTAAACATGAATGGGTTCTCTCCGGGTACTCTGGCTTCCTTGCACAGTCCAAAAACATGACTGTTAGGTTAATTGGCTTCTCTAAATTCTCTTTAGATGCGTTTGCGTAAATGTTTGTTTGCTTCTGTGTTGCCCTGCAAATAGACTGGTGACCTGTCCAGGGTAGACCCAGCTTCTCTCCCATAGACAGCTGGAGATGGGCACCAGCACCTTGTGTGATGAAAAATGGATGGATATTGTAATTACACACCCCTGCAGTAAGTCCACTAGTGACTGATTTTGTTTTTAGCTGATCTTCTTCCAACCCATAACCAAGGAGTTCATTTACTGAGAGCTACTGTCATAAAATGTGCCAGCTCTAGAGCAAATATACCTGCCGGCGGGGGGGTATTGGAAATGGAAACCTTTATCCCTGCTTTCATTTTATTATTGTTAAAATAAAAGTGTAAAGGGGAAAATGAAACACAACAAATCAGTTACAGCCTCTATGCCAGTGCATATCATCATCAGAAATTTATTTAGTCTTATGTCCTCAGAACAGGGGCCTTAACGGGATGCCGTTAAGGCAAACTGGCCCCTGTCTAGAACCGTCCATGACCATCGCTGTAGTAAACATTACTTTGAAACCGCTAAAGACACCCGTCAACCCGCACAGCAGTTGGTTACCATGGAGACCACATACTATTTTGCATTTCTTCTAAAGAAAAATCAAATATGACAGCCGCTTCTCTCCTAAGATTTAACCTTGTATTAATTAAACGCAGAATAGATTTTGTCTAAATCGCCCAGAAAAGTTCAGTTTTACTGGTTGTATATAAAATAATAAATTGTTGCTCATTATTTGCTGCTGTGATGTGAGCTGAAATAAGACATTAAAAGCAATACTTAATTGTCTGTCTTAAAAACAGATGACAGCACTGACCTTAATACAGGAATATAACAAATGTCTTTCATTAAGGCCTAGAAAACCATAGTACTATTTACCAGATAATATACATATTTACAAAAAATAAGTTACATTACATGTAGTAAATGATTGTGCTTCATACCAAGTGTTACAATTTTAAACATAAATATAAAACTTTTGTATAAAAAAGATAATTTGCATTCTTCATATTTTTCTGTGCCCTTGCATTAGTCCATAGTGCTTTGTTGGCCCTAACAGGTTCCAGTGATGAACACTGCAGCCCTTCAGAAGATGGCGAAGTTGAACGCCTCCCCATATCCGGCCTCCCTGGTGTATTTCTCCAGGTTCAGAGGCTCAGACGCTCGGAGAGCCGTGCTTTCATTCGCTGAGCGCTCCCCTGCATGAAGTATCCTGATCAGGTCTGTCACAGACGGACGCCCCTGGGGGTTCCAGTTGCAGCAGGATTTTATGATTGAGTACCTGCCAACATAAACGAAGAGAAGATGAAGAATGTGCAATTGCCTGAAGATGTAGTAGGACTACATGTGGGGTTACTTAGAATGTTGCAGAAAGTATGACCTGCATGCTTTTTAAGGTAAAAGCATGCAGTGAAGCTAAAATACCTCATTAGTTAAGTTTACCTCCTTAATGAATTTCACCCTTTTTCATTACCATACAGAATTAACACAGTGAAATCCTTTTATATGATCAGGTTTTGGTTTTTCCATCTCATTAAGATAGAAAATCAGTAATATACTTAATTTAAAGTTTCAAATCCATTTAAAAAAAATTAGAAAACCAGAATCAAAAATCAAGTTAGATGATAGCAAAAGACAGTTTTAGATAATATCTGTATGTTTCTGAACATTTTCTGACCGGCTACAGCAATTACTCTTAATGTGCAGCTATGAGATACATCTGCTTGGTTTTGCACGAAGGCGGCTTAATGCAGCAGTTCTTACAATGCATTGGAGCAGTTTGTCGGTCGCTTCAGAGTTTTTCCTCTCTGGAGATACTGCAGAAGTTCAGTCGACATGATCTGAGCAAACGGTGGGTCACCTAAAAGCAGAGGATATTTATTACTTTATCTAGTTGCTTAATAATTATTAAAGCAATTTTCCATTGTATCCATTGTAATGTTTGATTTTATGCATTCTAGCAAAATTTCTCTTAAGACTTTTACAGAAAAGCAGTAGGCGCAAAAGTCCAGCTAAACTGAGCTCAGACAGTTTGTTGACTTGTGTTTAGTTTTTTTTTTAAAAGTTTTTAGTTTACTGTGATTTAGTGTCATGGTTGTGGTTCTCTTGCAGTGTTGTGTTTTTTTGTGTTTCTCTCTGTTGCCCCCTTGTGCCAGTCTCATTTCCCCTAGCTTCTAGTTGCTTCCGTCTATCCCTGCTCCTTGTAAGATAATTAGCCCAGTCTTTGTTCAGTCTCCCATATATACTCCACTTGTGCAGTTACTCAATGCTGGTTTCTCGTCGTTGCTTTGCTCCACATGTGTGTTTTCCTCTGGCGTCTCCTGGTTTTTTGTTTCCTCTTATTGTTCTTGGATTTTGCTTCTGTTGCATTTTCATTAAATAAGCAAAAACTCATATCTGCCGCCTTCTCTGCATTTGGGTCCACAACAACATCCACCGTCCCGGACACGTTCATACAGAGTTTGAAAGATAGAGCCAGGTTTGTACCTCCCTCCTGATCTTTGTACCTCGATAATTATTAAAAACCTTATTGTGTCATATTCTACTCAAATTTATATTTCTTTTTTGTTTCAGCTCTTGTTTAGGTTAGCTTTCCTTCAAGCACTGCATTTTTAAATACTTATTTTTATCCTGTAAAAGTTTTTTTTAACCTTTATGTCTTTGCAGTATAATCTTCTTTTTCTTTTTTCAAGTAAAGCACTTTGAATTGCAAGACAAACAAACTTTTCTTTAAAGGCGACAATCATTTCTGATCTGTTATTAGCTGGCAGTGAAGGGTCTTTGAGTTTCTTTGTTTTTTTTTTGACTCCTTTAATTGGTGTGGCTTCCTCTTTTTGTTATTGGTTTATTTCACTTAACAAAAAAGCATTTTTGTGGCACTTGCACAGCTCTTAGATCTCTATAGATCTAAAATTTGTAAACAAGTAAATGTTATACAGTTAATGTGATTTCAGGAAGAGAAACAGATAAAAGGTTGTTATAACCCATTCCAAGAGAAAAAATAAAACCCTGAATTTTTATCTAGAACCATTAAGAATTTAGGATAGCTAAAGGTTTTTCTCTCGTGTGTGTGTGGAGTACTCACCCAATGTAACCATTTCATAAAGGAGGATACCAAAGGACCACCTGTTAAAATGAGGAGAAATACCATCAGGTCATGTAACTAAAATATATTAAGAGCCAAACTAGATTGCACCCTATAGAAATAGATATCCAGATTTGCCACATAAAAATTTATGCAGCAACTGAAAAATGAAATGTATCATAACATCTAACTTTTAGTAACTTTACATCCTGAAATCCATTCTAGAAAATGTAAAGATTCACTAAGTTGTTTTTATCTTCATTCTGCTTACAGAGTCCTCCACACTCACACATCACTGCTGTTACTGGCTGTTCTCCTGGCCAGAACTTCCGGCGCCTCCCATTTCTTCAGCTCCACGTCCTCCACCAGCCCTGCAGTGTTCACCTGGGTCCTGTGGTACGCTGAGCCCAATCCCCACAGTTTGGCTGTCAGATCGCCCCCGACCAGAACGCTGCGAGCTCCAATATTCCCATGGATGCAGCCCTGATTGTGTAGGTACTCCTGAAGGAGAAAAAAATATATAGAGCTATAGGTAAAAGGTGGTTATCTGACAGTAAAAATCAGATAACAAAGATGGTAGCTAAAAGCAGAAAGTAAGCAGTTCAACTGACCAGAGCAGAGGCCACTTGTCCGGCCATGATGACGATCCTCTTCTCTGTGATGCCATGGCTTGTAGTGTCCTTCAGAGAAATAAAAGGATAGAACAGATGCATGGTTTCAAGGCAGGAAGTTTCTTTTGAGATTCTCAGCATGTTTTAAGCAAACTTCATTTCTCCTTAAGGCTTCACTGGCAGGGGTGTAGATAGATGGAGGGCCAGGGGTGGCCATGGCCATAAATAACTAAAACTGAAACTGTTTTATCTACATATATAGTTGTTTATATATTAATAGTATGCAGAACAAAAAATTTAATAGTTGTACTGTGGATGTTTTTTGTTTTTTAAGATATATAGGTAATAAAAACTTTAGTCTCATTTTGTGTAAGACCACCCAACCATTATTTTCTGCCAACTTGATAAAAAAAAACTTCTCTGAACGCACTTTGGACAGATTTATTTCCTCAGGACTTGCAGTTCTTGTCATGACCTTCTACAACAGTTCACTTCTTGCAAATCTTGGCTATTTTAAGTATTCAGGTGTGACGAGATGTGCAAAGAGGGCCCGGGGCGGGGTTTGTTCCTACAGACTCCCAGGTAAAAGTCATGCACACTTAGCAAGCAGTCAAAGGGATATCCGTGTGACCAAGTTGCCGGATCAGTCGGCGGCATAGAGACAGGATCATACCGTCACACAGGGAGAGCAGTGGATCTACAATAAGTGGCTGAAACCCCGGCGAACTGGATAAACAACACTAGAAATGTGCAGTAAGAGCATGCTTACCGGCATTACCTCAGCACATCACAAAAAACTGGCCTGTGGCAAAACCAACACATTCAATGATCCCCCAAGAACCTAAAGCCAAAAGATTGTCCACTGCACTTTAAATTAAGATTACATATATGTGTAAATATGAGCCAATGTTGATTTCAGTGATTTATTTGGAAAATGCAGATTTTGTGTTTATTAATTTTCTTGTTGGTACTAGGTCAGGGTAGATTTACCCTGAATTGGCACCTATACTTTTTTGGTCACCTCTCGGTGCACGTTGGCCCCAGCCTGGCTACCTCTATGAGCATTTTCTAGAAGCGCCACTGTTGACTGGTATGCTAAAAATAAAATTAATTTATACAGGGCTTGATATGTGCTACCTGCAGAACACTAAGGAAATACTTCACAGTTTAAAAATTAAGATACATGTTGAAAAAACAGAAGAACTGATCCAAGAAATCTCTATGTGGAAGAAAATGGTAATAGTTTGTCAGCGGTGGCTACTTTTTTTTTTTTTTTTTTAGAAGTTTTATCTTTTCATAAATGTTATAAATGTTAATAAACACATCCAGTTTTTATCTAAACATCAATGTAAAAACACAGATAATCTTTCTGAGAAAAGCCATGGTGCTCTACCTCTCTGCACCTCCATAGAAACCCCAGCAGGTCTCTGTTCCTCAGCTCCTCCATCACCATCACCAAAGGCGACCTCACTGAAACCACACCCAGCAGGGCAGGGATGAAAGGGTGAGGGCCCAGTCTCCCCAGGAAAGATGCAAACCCTAGAAAGTGCTGTTTTTCACTGTTGCTTGCATTTTCTGTAGGAAAAATAAGGATAAGAGAACACACAAAGTGTACTATTAATTTAATTGTGTCATTTTTGGTCAGGCGCAGTTATCTCTTGAATTTAATCTTAACCCTTTAAAACCAATTGTATCATATTTGATACATGAGCTTTTAAGATCTGTGCATCATCAGTGTGATCTTGCTCATCTTAAAAACCCTGACTTACACAACCAGAGACATGTAGTGAACAGAAAACCTATATAATATTCTACAGAAATGCCTAATGTATCAAAATTGATGCAAATAAATGATCTAATTTAACTTATACAATATATATATATATATATATATATATATATATATATATATATTATTTCATGGTCCAGGCTTTAAAGGGTTAATAGTTATTCAAAATATCTTTAATTTGCTAATTTAGAGATGTGACATCCATCTATTTTTTATCAAAAATGCAGATTTGGTTTTCTGCTTTTAACTCTGAACAAATAATTTACCTTTTAGCGTTCTAAGGACGACGTCCCTGTTGTCCATCCGGGCTCTGTAAAGACTTATTGTTTCATTAGGTCTGATGGAGAAAGACGGCGTCAATGCGGTGACATGTCTAAAGTTTCCCAGAGGAACTGTTGTGGGCGTATGTGTTGTTGCTGCCACATTTCTCTCTCTGGATGTCTGTGGTGATGGAGCCACAGTCCTCTCTGGAGAGCCATGTCTTGCTGCAGCGCCATGCCTATCTCTAGCTGCATGCCGTGCTGCCGTTGCATGCCTCTCTGGGGATGCATGACGTGCTGCAGCCAGAGTTGGCTTCACATTGTTATGTGTGTTTTGGATTGTCATTGGCACTTCTTCATGTTCAAGAGGGTCGATTCCGGGCGGTGCTTTTGAGAAAAAAACAGAAAAGAAAATGTCATTTCAGGAAAAAAAGAAAAGAACAAAACAAGCCTCTTCATTGGCTTACCATCTATTCCATGCAAGTGATGTCTGTGGTGGTTGGGGTGACGGTTTTGATGGTGGTTGTTTCGAAGTGTGTGTCTGTGGTTTGTGGTGTGCTGGTTGGGATTGTATTGTCTGGGGTTTCTGACTTGTGTCCGTTCGTGCTTATTGCAGCACAGCAATATAAAGATGATCAATACTATGATCACCGAGAGGGAGACCAACAACGCAGGGACAACAATTACTCCGAGTTGATATTCACGTGTTACTGTAGGAGAAAGGCAAAAGAAAAAAATCTAAAAGACAGGTCCAAGAAAATGCTTTGCATTTCCAGAGTCCTACATTTCTATTTAAAAATTTGCCTATAGTTTGTCCCCCTCTAGTGCAGCGAGTGTCACTTTATTGGACTTGCAGATTAGTAACCTCTTAACTTCAAATCTCACAAAGTTAAAAAACAGATTCTTTGATAATTGGTTATTGTTATGTAATATTATCCTGCAAAAATAAAATAAAATAAAATAAAATACAGCTAGGTTTTAGCTTTAAGCTTTATTTAATCAGAAAAACATGTCTATATGAATATCAGTATTACCATACTGATCCTGTCCAATCATGAGGGTTCAAGAGTTTTATAACCACCCTTTTTTGCCAAGATTACTGAAATACTACATTTTTTAAATTACATAAATATTTTGACGTTTTCCCATTTTAAATATGTTGACTAAGGAACTGTTTTACACCTCATTGATTCAATTCAATTCAGTTTATTCATATAGTGCCAATTCACAACACATGTCATCTCCGGGCACTTTACAATTAAGCCAGGTTATATTCTTTATGCCGTTGTCTTTTTGTCCCTTAGATTGCTCCCTGACCTGCTTAATGACTTTTCTCTCCACCCATTAACTGTTATTATTCCATAAAGACTGATTCCATGTTTATTCTGTCTTTAAACCCTCTTTTGTTGTAAAATAAAGCTCAGCCTATTTTCTTTAATAAAAACTGAAGAAAGCAAAGCTACTAGTATGGTCAAAAATAACAAAATTCTGGTTCAGGGACATTTTTAGGAGTGGTGTAAAGCTTTGTTCAATAATATCCTATTCAAGTCTATTGTTACTGGTCAAGCATCTCAGGGATCAATGCTAGGGCCAATTTTTATATCCATTATCCTTCTATTATTAAAATTATCTCACAGCACAGGGCATTTCAACTTTTATGCTGATATTTTCCCATATATCCGGATGAAACTAATTTCGATATAGACTATAAGCATGTCACCACGAGATGCGTAAAAACTAATATGACTTTAAATTTTCTGCTTTTGAAATCAGATAAAACAAAGGTCGTCTTTTGACCTTAAGCTTCAAAAAGTAACTGCTTAGCTAGGATCTGGATGGCATTAAATTGGTCTCCTACTGTATAATAACCTAAAACACCTCTGTGTTATTTTTTATGATAATTATTAATTTAAATCCAATATTAAACAGATTACAAGAATATCCATCTTTACAGCTTGAATATTGTAAAAACTAGAAATGTCTTGTCCAGCAGTGTCCATGGATTTTTCTTTAAGGGTTAAACTATTGTAATCGTTTAATATCGGGAAGTCCAGAAAATGTTTTTTTTTTTTAATCTTGAGCTGATCAAAAATGCTGCATCCAGAGTTCTGATAAAAAATAAAAAGAAAGATCATATGTTCTACGTTAGCTCCCCTTCACTGACTTCCTTTCAAAACCTGAATAGAATTAAAAATTCTTCTTCTCACGTAGAAAACACTAAACAAGAGATCTGATTGTTCCTTATGTTCCCAGCACTGCAAAACATTTTAAATCTAAGTAAGTCAATTTTCTTAAAATAAGCATAAATTCTTGAATTGAGCAGTTAAGTGAGACACTGACCATTTACATTTAGAAAAAGAAAACCAACTGCAGCCTTTTATTTCAAGTGCATAATATCTAATTAAATAATTTTAAGGGTAAAAATGCTCAATTCATTGGCAGATCATCTTATTTTTGTACTCAAATTAGGGATAAATACACTTATTTTAACATTGTTGTACTGAACAGAGCAGGTTAAGTTTACCAGTTTACTAGTACCTAGAATTTTTAAAAGAAGAATGGGAGGCAGATCGTTAGTTACTCGGCTCCTCTCCTGTGGAACCAACTACTACGGTAGTCTTACTCTGTGACACAAACACATGTCTTTTTTTAAGGCTACTGTAGGCTTAAAAAATATATTTTTTTAAAAGTTTATAGTTAGTGGCTCAGGTTATCCTGATTTATCTCTATAGTTATGCTGCTAT